GAAAATGTGCCGCTCAAACACTATACTTTTCCGCTCACACTGAAAAAAAATTAGAGGGAACATTGCTCTCTTCTCTTTTTCTTTTTGCAACCGTTTCCATTCTACCTCCCCCTTCCATTCTCTCACCTGAGCAAATTATGTCAGGTAGGAATGCTGATAGGTTTCTTCTCTGATTGTGTGCAGGGCCTTTTAGAACTAAATTGAAAGGCACTCACTGTTCAGCAGCTTCATGTATTAATAATACTGTGTCCAGTTTTGAGAGTCGCATGTCAGAATGAATATTGATAAAATCAGAGAATTGGACTCCACAGGAAACAGCTCCAAAAAAGTAGGATCCAGTGTCCTGTATGTTTATTGGAATCTGTGATAAACATCAGTGATCAACTATCTGAATTGGTGGGAGTTAGATTTAACTAATAGATTGGTTGTACGTCAAAAGTAAGGTTATAGGAATGTCAAAATAATGTGAAAATCCAGGAGAACTATATTATGGGAAATGTTCTAGAAAATAAGTTCCATGGTTTGGTAGAATAAACAAGATTCCCTTCCATCAGTGATTTTACATATTGTCTTAACACCCCAAAACTTCTGAAATTGTTTGAAGTGAAAGTATCATGTAATATTACTATGCATATTACAATGAATTTGAGAATGTCATTAATACTCTAAGATGTTACATACCCACCTATAAAATTAAAAATTAGTTTCTGTTTACCTGTAACAATTTTGATTGAATCTCTAGCTGTTCATCTACCTTTTTCCACTGTTTAAGTTTTATCAATACTTTTTGTTGCCATGGATCTTGTTGAGGCTTAATCTGTCAGACAAGAGGTAGATATTCAAAGTAAAATACCGAAAATTTATTTTGCTAATCTAGAAGTTGGTAAGGATTAACCATTTTGTATGTGTGAAAAAGAATACTGTGTTGGTAGAATATTTGTAGCTCAGGGTTGAGCTATGGGGCCCTTGGTGCTCTGGACTTGGTGGCTCTCTTGCAAAGGTTTCATTACCAAACTAGGTAACATTATCAGTGCACTGGTGCTGTTAATTTAGTAACGAGACCTCTGAAAATGGGCAGAGAGCATCAAGGGACCTCCATCTTCCAGAATACAGTGCAGTCAATGCTGTGAAAGAAAATCGCATCTGCTCAGTCCACAATATATCTCCGTCTTCAAAGAGTAACCCTAATCACTTATATATGAAGCAGAGGTGGGTTCCTACCGGTTCAGCCCGGTTCAGCCAAACTGGTAGTTCCCCAGTCAGCATGGCATGTTCCCCCCCCCCATTTTTTATTGTTCTGTGCATGCGCAGTCCTATTTATGGGCAACTGCGCACATGCACAGAGCGCGTGTCAGGCACGCGTGCAAGCAAAGCAAGCGTTTGTGCGCAAAATTGACAGCGCACCAAACCGGCAGTAATGCTGTTAGCAACCCACCCCTGATGTCAAACATCTTTTACATTTAGTATATAGAAGCATAATATTTAAGGTGATGCTCTTGTATGGTTCTCCGCATACACCGATGCACGCAAGATACATAATCTGTCTTCCTAAATATAAGTATATTTCATTTCAGTTTCACTTAGGATGATTATATACCAGTTAGCTATTGAGAATTTGAAAATTCAGAAGTTCAGATAGCTGCTTGCATAGCTTGAAGTTGAAATTTAGCTTTTACCTTTACAAAAGAGGTCCAATTTGCTCTCTTTTTCAAAGTCACGTTGGAGTTCATTAGGCCCAATTTTTCTGATCCAGGGGTTCCAGCATCATAAACAGGAAATGTTCTCATTGTTTGCTGTTTATTGAAAATGCTCCTAAATTTATGTTTGACCTGAGGATGTTGGGGAGATCATGCTGATTAAGCTAGAAAAATTAACATTGCTTTACACTGAATTAATGTTACATCAGTACTAGGACAGAATTCACTTACAAAATACAGAAACATTATAATCAAGGAAAAGGTTGAGTTCACTGAAGTCTTGTTTACTTTAAACCGTGAGAATGCGTGAGAATGGGAATGGCCGCCGAGTTCCAACACTCCGGCTATTGAGAAATAATAGCGATAGATTCCAGGCGACTAGGACCCCGAACATGACAACGGAGGGGTCCTTGCAAGAGATCAACATTCGGGCTTCCCGGGGAGGTAATTATTTGGGGAGGGGGCTGCCTTCGGGTGGCCCCTGGACGGTATTACCTCCCTCGGTGAT